GACCACCTGTGCCTCCGCCAGAGCCGTCGCGCGGTAGCGAGTGTCACTGCCCCAGACATGACGAGGCGCGCGCCGGGCCTGGCCGCCCTGCCCCTGCCAGGCTTCACTCTGGACCTGGAAACCGACTGCCCTGCCGTCCCTGCAAGGCCCAACTTTTCCCTCCCTGAAGACCCCCCCCCCCACACACACACACAAGGGCACCGAGCCAGCGGCCCATCTCCCTTGACAGTTACCCCGCCACTCCACATCTTCATTAGATGTGCCAGGAGCCATTTATGAACAAGTCATGTGACTTAACATATGGCCTCCAGGGTGACTGTTGTCCTGCCCTGCTCAGCGTGGCCACCCTGGAGTGCAGACTCCAGCCCTGCCCAGCGCCGCCCTGCGAGTGCGGGATAGCTACCTGGGGAGCTGCTGGAGGGTCAGGACCTCAGGGCAGCCTGAGCCCTGGGCCCCTGGGCGGGCCGGTTTTCCCTCCTCGCTGGGCCAGCCCTGGGCCTGCAGGGCTGCACCCGCTCTGCCCGTGCTGGTGGGTGGCTCCCGTCTCCTCTTCGGAGAGGGACTGCAGCAGAGGCACCAGCTCAGGGCAGGGTGCTGTGCAGTGTCCTTGGGCTCACTCTCGGAGGCCCTTGGCTGGTCTGTTGTGCAGATTCTGTGGGAAGATGCCGTCTGTCAGTACCCCAGGCCTGGGAACGGCAGCTGAGGGGCGCGTGGGTGCCAGCCAGCGCTGGTGAGGAAGCGTTCAGCTGTAACCAGAGCCACCCCCGGGCCAGGGCTGAGTCCCGGTGGGCACAGCGCTGCCTTGCTGCAGCTCTGTGTGGCTGAGGAGACACAACGTTTACCCTCAAGACAAACCTAGCCAGGTTTGCCCAAGGCTTGGCCTGAGGCAGCCCCAGCTTCTGCCCACCTTGGGCTTGTCTCCCTGGTTTCTGTTTCCAGTTCTCTACCCACGGTGTTGTGATTTGCAGAGCTAATGTTTCCAGCCTCGTGGCAGGCAGGGGGGCAGTGGGGTCAGGTGGTAGGGTCCTGCCCCGTCCTCCCCGGGTGCCTTTGTCTCCACAGAGGGGCCCAGTTATCCTGTGTGGGCTCTGAGTGGCAGGGAAGCGTCCTTGGGGACGCCTTTCGGTCTCAGAGCAACTGGCTGGCGAGCTGGCCAGTGGTCATCAGGGCTGGGGGCCGACAGTATTCATAGGGCCCCGCAGCACCCAGATTAACGCAGACCCGACCACACGGCTGTCTGTGTAGCACTGCAGCTCCCCTGCCGGGCTTGGCGCAGCTCACACCGGCTCCTGAGCAGAGGGGCTGAGGCCCGGCCCGTTTGGGAAGATGGTGTCTTTCTCCCTTGCCTCTCGCCCCTGTCTGCAGACGGGGGCTGGGCGCAGGTCTTGCAGCGCAGCGGCCTGGCGCAGTGCCGCACACCTCTTGCTTCCGTCTGCAGCCTGCTGCCAGACTGCTGTATGGGTGGAAGCAAGCTCTCTGCCGCCGCGTGCCTGCCTGTCCACTCCTTCACGTGTGTTCACTAAGCGACTACCTTGTGCTGGGAGTGGCCCAAGGCGAGCTGCTTCTAACAAGTGCCAGCAAATTCAGGTTCCTTCCAAAGCTTTGCTGAGCCACGCCATGCACAAAGGAGTGGTGAATGGGAATTGTCTAGTTGACACCAAGTATTGTGGCTCTGGCTGAGAAGTGATCGGAAACCAGTGAGGGTGACCTCTGACCCCAGGGCTTCCAGCCTTGACCTCTAAGCCAGTGTAGCTCACACTTGCCCGTTTTCGAGTCACCGTGGAGGCTGTACTGAGGGTGGGTAATCTGGAGGGAGGGTGAGCTATAAGGGGACAAGACATCCCAGGTAGCTCTCAAGTAGCTGGAGGTGCCCAGGCGCTGCAGGCTAGAATACAGGGGCCCTGGCTGGCAGGCTGGTCTTGGGGGCTCCCCCAGGGCAGAGGGTATGGGACTGACCTAGCTGGAGCTAACAGACCTTGAGCTCAGCATGGTGAGACCCAGCCGTCTGCCCCCCCCCCCCCGGCCCTGCCTGCGTTTGTTCCCAGGAGGCCTCTGTGCACCCAGCTTGAGTCCCACACCATTTCCTACAGCTGATTGGTTGTGGGGCCAGACAGACTGCAAGTGCCTTCTAAACCAGTCCTGGTGACCAGCTTCAGGGGACCCCGGGGGCTGTGGGCTGCTAGCACCTAGGCTGCAGGCAGAGGTTTTCCAGAGGCCCCGCTCAGCTGGGCACATCCGCATGTTTGTGACTCAGCCCCTCACAGACAGCAGCAGGATAGCTGGGAAGGAAGGTCAGGGGCAGCTGGAGGAGACCTGGGGGGGGAGGTGACCCCACATCCATAGGGTTTTGGTCGGCCTGCCGTCAGGAATGCAGGCAGCTGTAGACAGGGGCAGCCTAGAGTGCTGGCCGGTGGCCAGGACTGTTCTTCCTGTCCATGGCCAGCCTTGGCCTGGTCTGCCCTGGGAGGGTGGCTGAGACAGACCACCAGGTAAGTCACCAGAGATGTGGCGTGGCCAACCGGTGTCCTGCTGAGCCTTGGGCCAGGCCACGTGTCCGTGGGCTATGAGGTCCTTGCTGGGCACTGTAGGGGAGAGAACCTTGGAGTCACTGGGACCCCTCAGGGGGGTGCTATTTCTTCTGGATATGGCCTCCATTTTAGAGCCTCCTGAGCTGCTCATCCCTGCCTCAGTCATCCCTGCCTCAGTCATCCCTGCCTCAGTCATCCCTGCCCCAGTCATCCCTGTCTCAGTCATCCCTGCCCCAGTCATCCCTGTCTCAGTCATCCCCTCAGTCATCCCCTCAGTCATCCCTGCCTCAGTCATCCCTGCCTCAGTCATCCCTGCCCCAGTCATCCCTGCCTCAGTCACCCCTGTCTCAGTCATCAGTGCCTCAGTCATCCCCCCAGTCATCCCTGCCTCAGTCATCCCCGCCTCAGTCATCCCCGCCCCAGTCATCCCTGCCCCAGTCATCCCTGCTTCAGTCATTCCCTCAGTCATCCCTGCCTCAGTCATCCCTGCCTCAGTCATCCCCTCAATCATCCCTGCCTCAGTCATCCCTGCCTCAGTCATTCCCTCAGTTATCCCTGCCTCAGTCATCCCTGCCTCAGTCATCCCAGCTTCAGTCATCCCCGCCTCAGTCATCCCCGCCTCAGTCATCCCCACCTCAGTCATCCCTTCAGTCATCCCTGCCCCAGTCATCCCTGCCTCAGTCATCCCTGTCTCAGTCATCCCTGCCCCAGTCATCCCTGCCTCAGTCATCCCTGTCTCAGTCATCCCTGCCCCAGTCATCCCCGCCTCAGTCATCCCTGCCCCAGTCATCCCTGCCTCAGTCATCCCTGTCTCAGTCATCCCTGCCCCAGTCATCCCTGCCTCAGTCATCCCCTCAGTCATCCCCGCCTCAGTCATCCCTTCAGTCATCCCTGCTTCAGTCATCCCTGCCTCAGTCATCCCTGCCCGAGTCATCCCCTCAGTCATCCCTGCCTCAGTCATCCCTGCCCCAGTCATCCCCGCCTCAGTCATCCCTGCCTCAGTCATCC